ACATTTAATACTATAAACTACTCCTGAAACTTTCAATACATCATCCTTATCTTTCAACTCAGAAAAAATATCACCTAAGTATATTTAAAATATGCTTGTAGCTAATTTTCACATTAGCAGAAGAGAGCAATTTATCATTTTTCTTTACCTTATATAAAAGAAATTTCTCATAAATTAGAAAAAATACTCTCTTCTGCTAATGTGAAAATTAGCTACAAGCATATTTTAAATATAGGTAATATTTTTTCTAAGTTGAAAGATAAGGATGATGTATTGAAAGTTTCAGGAGTAGTTTATAGTATTAAGTGTCTTGACTGATTAAAGATAGAATAACTAAACATAAGAGTGATTGTAGATTACAATAAATATAGTTTAAAAAAACTAAAAAACACGCTTTTATAGTAAATTGAACTAAAAAGTGAAAAATAATTTTTAATATAAACAGAAAATATTAGAATTATTGTGAAAAAAACGTGGGGTGCTTTGTTCCACATTTCTCGTACATTGAGCACCCCACGCTTTTTTCACAATAATTCTAATATTTTTTGTTCATTAATATTTTCTGTTTATATTAAAAATTATTTTTCACTTTTTAGTTCAATTCACTATAAAAGCGTGTTTTTTAGTTTTTTTAAACTATATTTATTTTTCACTTTTTAGTTCGATGTGTTATTTTGTTATTAATTTTTTTATTTTGAAGAAAAAACTTTAATTCTTATTTGTGTTTTGTTTATATTTTGTGGGATTATCGAGATTATGGGAGGAATGGTTAACATTGTTGACATAAAGACACAATCAAAAAATTATGGTGTGACCGGTGCGACACCTGGAGTGTGCCCGAAGTATTTTCTGAACGGCATAGAGTGCGCGCACCATTAATCATTTATGAACGGCTAGTGCGTCGAACCGCACCGGTATCACACTCACACTGAGTGTGTCATTCCTGAATTCGTTCCAGAGATCTCCAGACTTTTGCAGACATTATCCAGACCTATTCAAAGCTTTCCAGAGTTTTCCAGAGTTTTCCAGATTTTATCCAGATTTATCCAGACTTGTACAGACTGATCCAGATTCTGGAAAATGATCCCCAGGTCTTTTGGGACCTTTTACAGAATTTTTCCGACCCTTTCAAGAAGTTTCCAGGCCTTTTCCAGACGTTTCAAGAGATTTACCGACAATATCCAGACTTATCCAGAGTTTTACAGACTTCATCCAAATTTATCCAGCCCTTATCCAGACTGCTCCGAATTCTAGAAAATGATCCCCCGGTCTTTTGGGACCTTTTCCAGAATGTTTCCGACCCTTTCAAGAAGTTTCCAGGCCTTTTCCAGACATTTCCAGACTTTTCCAGACATTATCCAGACTTATCCAGACTTATCCAGAGCTTTCCAGAGTTTTCCAGACTTTTTCCAGACTTTTTCAGACCGATCCTGATTCTAGAAAATGATCCCCAGGTCTATTGGGACCTTTTCCAGAATTTTTCCGACCCTTTCCAGAAATTTCCAAGTCTTTTCCAGACGTTTCCAGAGATTTCCAGACAATATCCAGAGTTTTACAGACTCTATCCAGATTTATCCAGACCTTATCCAGACTTGTACAGACTGATCCGGATTCTGGAAAATGATCCCCAGGTCTTTTGGGACCTTTGGCAGAATTTTTCCGACCCTTTCCAGAAATTTCCAGGCTCTTTCCAGACGTTTCCAGACATTTTACAGACTTTTCCAGGCTTTATCCAGATTTATCCAGACCTGTTCCAGCTCACTTGGCTTGTTCCAGGTTCTTGTTCATACACTTCCCAAGGGTCCAAAAGTTCGCACGCATTCCAATGTGCCCGTGCGATAAACATTTTCAATGTTACTTACAAACATACATACATACAAACATACATACATACATACATACAAACAAACATACATACATACATACAAGTGAAGCTAATATAAGCGTGTTAAAAAAGATCTTGTACTTTATCTGAACATGTAATAGATACTGATCATAACGTAGATTTTATCAATGTAAAAATACTAAATAAAGAACAGAAGGAAATTTCTTGAAATGATTGAGATTTATTTTGAAGATAATTCTTTAAATAAAAGAAAAGATATTGAAGATTTAAACATAATATATTCATATATTCTTCATTTCATTAAAAATCCAATCAATGAAATAAATTTCTTAAATTAATGCCCTAAGTTCTATTTTATAAATTTAATAATTAATACTTACCTATTACCTATTAAATTCCTCAAAGGTACATTAACAAACAAGAACCAAGCTCTATCATAAGTCTTGAAATTGTCAAAGTATATTAATCATTTTATATTTTATTGTTAATTTTTGAAGGAAGCTTGGTTTTATGTTTTTACAAGGATTTTCATAGTTATTGTAACTCACTTTACACGTAAGTTTTAGTTATACTCTTTAATTTTTATAACATATTGCTCTATATTGTAGCCTTGAAAAAGGAAATAAATTTTCCGAAAGCTCGGCGTAAGTAAAAAAAGAGTTTCAATCATTGCCAGACCGCTAACCCAAGAAAACAGAATAAAAAAACTACTTGTTATGATTACATTCACGTTAGATTGGTCTTTGGCGCGCCCAATAACGTGGTGGATGAGATGCCAGAGCCGCTTTCCAGTATGCACATTGGCGCGCTCTGGCGCGCTCTAGAGCACCTCGGGGGCGCCACGCACTAGATTTGTACCGTTCCAGTATCATGACGTGAGACGCCTGTCTTAGTGTCAAATATGTCAAATTTTAAAAATATTTATCTGTTTGTTTGTGCAGTTTGTGTTTTTATTTATCATAAATGGAAGAGAATCAAAACTATATTTTTTAAAATGTTCAATCTTGAGATATAACAAGAAATAAATAAATAAATAGCGGATGTGACAGCTGACAGGTTGACACGTACGTACAGCTCGGGAGCTCAACGCCCCGAGTAGCTCCGGGCGTCACATTCCCATACTGGAAAGCGGCTCTGTGCTTCGATCTTGGTTGTTGCCACGTTGTATTCAGCTTATTCTATTGACAAAAGAGAGTGTTCATGATGACGAGATCGGGCTCTGAGTTAGTTTCGCCTATACCCTCGTTGCCATAGTTCCATTCCAATTAGTGCGTAGCTACTGCCGACTCGGGCATCGAAGTCACCTTACCAAATAACTTTGTCTGATTAAGGAATGTTTCTTAAAGATTTTATCTAGGTGGGTGTAGAAATCCTCTTTCTTATCATCGTCTGAACTAAATCTAAAGTTGGGAGCTTATAAACTGATTACAATCGCTCTTTGGTTGCTTACGAGCTTGAAACGCAGAGTCATTTCACTTATTCCAGAAAGAGCACATCAAGATGCTCAACGAGTTGGTTCTTTATTATGAAAAGATGACTATGATTTTTCATTGGCGCACTAAACTTTTTTTTTACTTGTAGTATTTTTTAGCATTTTTTTAGTTTATAACAGGCTGTTCTAATAGTGAATTCCATTGGCCGAACTGATGCGGCACGAGTGCAATATTACAACACAATCATTGGCCATTATGGTGAAAGTTTCTGATTCCCAATGAGAAACTAGTGCGACACTTTTTGCTCCGAGTGCAATCACTTCCGCGTTGAAGCTTTCGCGGCACTAGTGCAATATGATATGCAAGAAGAACCTGATAGCACTGTTTATTGAACTTAAAGTGTCTGCCATTTCAGCCGTAGACCTCAACTCTTGGCGTAAAATGCATAAGCCGAGCTTAAAACAGTATAGGTCAAAAAACCGAATTTCTAAACGTTATAATCTCGTTAGAAACACCTTTTCTACATTTAAAATTATCGAAAAAACAAGCACAACCTGAATCGCAAGCATACCATCGAGGCCTGCGGGTGACGTCACCACTATCCGCTTGTGGTTGAATTCAGCTGGTGTAGGCACCGTAGTGGAATGGTAGAAAAAGCAGTGTTGTTAAATTGAACAGGAATTGGCAAGCTAAGGTTTGGCATTGGCATTAGTGAATCGTAATCGTCGCATCCGTGGCGGTGCAACATTAAAAGGTGAATTTAGCCACACCCGGTATAAGCTGCTATACTGCTAAAAAAGGTGACGTCAATCGCAGGCCCTGCCGACTCGAGAATAAGCGAACGTACGCCTTATGAGGATCAACAATCCTAAATTCTATTAGTTTACGATTCTTGATTCCGTTGTAATTCTTGTTTTGAAATTTGTGGACAGATAGAAAAAAACGAAAAGCCAACAGAAACCCATAATGAAAACATAACATACGTTCAAGGATAATACCGAGGATAATACACACTACTACAGGATTGCTTATCGGTCTCGTTGCCAGCACTATTTTTGCCAATGGAATTTGATATAGTGCCGTCAGCACGTTATTCGCCAACGAATAATCGACATTCGGGACAAATACTGCATGTATAGATTTAATATTCGTGTTTGTTGGCGAACATTCATGTTCCCCGAACACAAATATCTTCCGTTAGGTCTTTCGTCGTTTCTTGTTGCTTTTTTATTATAGCTCTGACCTCCCCCCCCCCCCGTAGAACCACCACCAAACAAAACTTAAAAAAAAAAAGTATTGCCAAACAGAGCTTATCCAAACTAACCCGTCCTCTTAATAATCTTTAAAAAAAAACCTAAGAAAAAAACAAAACTCCAAAAAAAAAAAAATTGCCTCAACGAGAATCGAACCTGAGTCCATTTGCTCCAAAAACATTACGTATGTGCGTATCCCCAATAGGCCACGCCACGTCTCTGGAAGTCATTGTAGAAATCCAAGTAATAAACTGCGCAAAACATTACCTTCTATATGCTAAGATACATTTGGCAACAGGGAGGGCATTTTAGCCGATCCTAAACCTTCGTCTGTCTGCTCTTTTGCCTTGTTCCAAAATATCATTACGTACCTATGTGTTGTGTTTCTATTCACAAACTATCAAAAATTAATAGGACACTTTTTTAAACAGTGAAATATGCTGTCAAAATTCCACATAGGTAAATATAAATGCGTGAAGAATCTCCACAATTTTGTTAATTGTTTTTCATAGTTTTACCAGAAATATCGTTGCAGGCTGCCAATAACTTTTCAAGGCCGAGGCCGTAAGCTTATTAGGTATTTGATTTCATCATTTAATATTTCTTTTAAAGTGCATTATTCGACATTGCGGGGATTATTTGAGGCTTACCAACAATTTTCTTGCTTTCCATTTCCATTATTCACACTCACTAACTACTTCACTATCACTACACAGTACACTCAAGAACTTGTAAACCAAGTTGAGTGTTGAATAAATTGAAGTTTTATTTTCAAGGGAAGCCTTCAGGGTCAGTCTCAGAAAAGCGGTCTGTCTTTTCGAACTGTCAAATGTCAATGTCAAACTGAAATGAATCTTATATCGGGTGCTGCCATCTGGGAGTAGGGCGAGAGTTCAAAAGGGTGAGAGCTTGATTGAAAAGTTGGTATTCACGGGGGAAAAAGAAACTTCATTACGTTTGTTCGGGTTTGGAAAAAGGACGGTTCTAGAACAATCGCACAGTTTATTATTGAAGTTTGTGATAGCTGAACCGTTGTCATTTTGTTGAATGTTGAACCGTGGGATTGTCTTGAACCATTCTAGAACCGTCCTTTTTTTAAACCCAAATAAGCCGATAATCGATTATTGGCCTATTTCGGAAGTAAGGGGGGGGGAATTCGTTCAGTGTTCAGTTCGCTAGCTTTGTTTATTGAAGCGGAAACTTCAATGGAAACTTGCGCGTTCAGCACATTTTTGTTTTTCCGAGTTGAATGAGATTATGACGTCACGTCCAAATAGGTCACGCTCGCTCATTCGGGTACAGTCGGTTAGTCGGCTCGAGTAGATTTCGGCCAAGCGAGAAAGAGAAAGTCAGCAGTGCGAGATAGATGAGGAAGATAAGGCGATTGGGATTCAATCGAGCAAGATTTCCCGTCCCTGAAGAACAATTAATTTCGGCGAAATTGCCGATCAAGGTTCCTAAAGTTAATAAGTCGCCTGGTAACGATAAACAGATGACGTCATCAGGAGGACCTCATGGAGATTTGCATTATGTTTAGGCATCTCAGATGACGTCATGAAAGATCAGCCAGCCCCAGGATGTTTGAAAGAGGCAATCCTACGACCTGTGAAAAAAAATCTATATGGCGGCAATGGTCAAACATCTGTGATGTTTGTTTATTTAACATAGGGTGACCACGAGATTACTGACCAAGCTCTAGTTCAGGCATGAATATCAATATCGATTTCAAGTTTTGAGGATGTATATTATTGATATCGATGCAGAATTTCGCTATAAAAACAATCGACTATCGCTTCTGGTTTGACCGCAAGTGCCATCAACTTCTTTATTTCAACTAGATCACCCCCTATATTATTACATTTTTGGATTCTATGAGAAATTCTAAGCATATTTTATGTACAATATCCTATACCTAACTTTAAGAGTTTTCAAGAAAATCGCGATTGAAAATGTCAAAAAATAATTTTTCTACGAGCGTGCGGGAAATGGCTCTTCCCGCACGATTTGCTGTGCGGGAAGACTTTCTTCCCGCATCGGTGCGGGAAGAGATTTCTTCCCGCACTCAGTGCGGGAAGAGTTTGAAATAATCATTGTGACATGGAATTGTTTGTATTGTTGATACACCTATACCTGTACCTTTACCTTTTTATAAATACCTATCAATACATTTTTAATTCTACCTTCTGCATAATCGCATTTTATTTAAAGTAAACTATTCGTTACATCAGCTTTAGTAGGCTCGTAGAAAAAATATAGTTCCTAACTCTTGCGGGAAGAAATTTCTGCACTCGTTAGGAAAATAGCTATTTCCTACAGCCGTGCGGAAATAGCTATTTATACAATAAGTTACGAAATGAGCGTCTTTTAGGCACGCGACGTGAAAATTGTCCAACGAGGCAAAGCCGAGTTGGACAACACGTCGAGTGACTAAAAGACATCGTTTCGTAACGTATTGTATACAAGATTTTTTCTACTGGCATTTTATAATAAAAAAATACAATTTTATTTCATGTGAATAAGTCGATTACACCCAAAATCTTTGTTACCTGCTTTTACTTGCCACCTGACACTTTTCATGCGATTTTCTTTTGAAAATTCGACATCAATAATTAAAATCCTAGAAAGTAGGTAATAACACAAAGTTCTGTTTTGAGTAACCCAAACGTTCAATTCAGTAATTCCATTTTCAATATTCATAATAAATACAAAACAAAATTCAAATATGTGTTTAGTGTGTTTTTTATTTCTGAATAATGAATGACACTTTTAGGCACTAGTGCTTAAAAATTACTTTTACGCACTCATAAGTCACTTTTACGCATTCAAAAGTCACTTTTACGCACTGAGTGCCTAAAAGTAACTTTCACGCACTCAGTGCCTAAAAGAATGTCGTTTCAAAACTGAAATGACAATCGAAAAGTTGCTATTATGAAACGTCAGTAGAAAAAATCGATTTTCCGCACTGATATGCGTGCGGAAAATGAGTTTTCCCGCACGGTGCGGTAAAACTTTTTTTTTTGACATATCAGTGCGGAAAAAGTTTTTCCGCACGGCTGTCAGTGCGGAAAAAATTTTTTCCTACGAGCGTGCGCAAAGTATTACTTTTCCGCACGCATTTCGGTACTCAAAGTTACACTTTTCCGCACTCAGTGCGGATACAGGCCTTATCCGCACTGAGTGCCGAAAAGTAAAAATAATTGTCAAGCAACAATAAGTGCACCTGTCGACTTTGACACATGATGGCAAATTTTTCCTCTGTTTCTATATCAACCAACATCTATACAAACACCAAATTTAATTAACTTGGACACATTTTCAGATTTTGTTCTCTATTTATATGCAAGAATCTACAAACTTTCTCATCAAATTAAAACGCTTTAAGATGAATAGCTCTGACGAGGATTTTCTGTTATATTTTTTTTGTTATGTAATTTTTTTTATAAATGCATAGATTCGCTTCAAGCTTCAAGTTAATTCAAAATAATTGAACAAATTATTGTTTTTTTTTTTTAAATTTTTGTTGTTACCTACCTGATATGAAGTTCGTAGGAAAAATTTTGTTCCTAACACGTGCGCAAAGTGTCTTTTCCGCACGCAAACACTTATCCGAACTCCGCTTCGCGTCGTTCGTATAACTGTGTTTGCGTGCGGAAAAGTAACACTTTGCGCACTTGTTAGGAAAATAACTATACCGCACTGATATGTCAAAAAAAAAAAGAAAAATTTTACATTTTTTCGCCTGTAGTAAAAATATTGTACCTAACACTTGCGGAAAAATTCATTTTCCGCACTTGTTAGGTAAATAGCTATTTTCTACTGACGTTTCATAATAGCAACTTTTCGATTGTCATTTCAGTTTTGAAACGACATTCTTTTAGGCACTGAGTGCGTGAAAGTTACTTTTAGGCACTCAGTGCGTAAAAGTGACTTTTGAATGCGTAAAAGTGACTTATGAGTGCGTAAAAGTAATTTTTAAGCACTAGTGCCTAAAAGTGTCAATCATTATTCAGAAATAAAAAACACACTAAACACATATTTGAATTTTGTTTTGTATTTATTATGAATATTGAAAATGGAATTACTGAATTGAACGTTTGGGTTACTCAAAACAGAACTTTGTGTTATTACCTACTTTCTAGGATTTTAATTATTGATGTCGAATTTTCAAAAGAAAATCGCATGAAAAGTTTCAGGTGTCAAGTAAAAGCAGGTAACAAAGATTTTGGGTGTAATCGACTTATTCACATGAAATAAAATTGTGTTTTTTTATTATAAAATGCCAGTAGAAAAAATCTTGTATACAATACGTTACAAAACGATGTCTTTTAGTCACTCGACGTGTTGTCCAACTCGGCTTTGCCTCGTTGGACAATTTTCACGTCGCGTGCCTAAAAGACGCTCATTTCGTAACTTATTGTATAAATAGCTATTTTATTTTAGTTTTGACAGCAAACAATGGAAAGAAGGTTGAAGCTTTTACGATATTTTTAACTCATTTTAGAAGCACTAAAGGGTCCCACCACAAAAATATCAGTTCCGGTTCAATCGAAGGTTTTCGGTCGGTCTACTTTTGAGGTTATGTTACTGCAATAATTTCAATGGTATCCCATACTTAGAACTGAAAATTCGTATTCTAGGAACAATTTTGAATCTATTTTGTATACGCTTTCCTATACCTAAAAGTCTACTGTTTTTGAGATATTTTATACTTGATGTAAGGATGTCTTTGGAACAACGAATACCAAAAACAGTATTAACAGCATTAATTTTAATCCTTTTTATAAGTTTACTAGCTGACCCGGTGAACTTCGTACCGTCTCTGAATTATTACCCACATAGCAATTGTACATGCTCAGCACATGTACAGAATATTCCTGACAAGGAAAAGTATATGCTAGATATGTTCCAAAAAAGCATTGCGCACATCCACAGTACATCCTGAGTATATGTTACAGGCCCACCGTAACAGATGTTAGGTATGTGCTTATAATATCCTCAAGTAATCCTGGGGGTCCTTCATGCAAAGATATAAAGAGAAGATCAAAAACTCAACTCAGAATTGATTTTAGCAATATAAGAGGAATAAGTACAAATATGAATTCAGTTCACCAACATCTTGAAGAACAAAGACCTGACATCCTTGTTCTCACTGAAACTAAAATCAGTTCTACAACACCTATTGTGAACTATCTTTATCCCGGCTATGACCTACACCACCGATTTCGACATAATTTTGGGATCTGTGTGTACATTAAAAATGACCTTTCATGTCATCGAGAGGAGAAGCTAGAACCAGCGAACCTTGATATCATATGGCTAAAATTCACCTCAAAGTCATCGACCAAGTTTATCTGCTGCCTCTACCGACCGCCAAGTAACACCGATTACCAAAACTTTTTCGCGACATTATCCGAAAGCTGTGATAGTATACAGTCAAACTATCCACAGGCGGAAATTGTCTTTTTAGGCGATTTCAACGTCCACAATATACCCTGGCTGAAACACCACAACAAAACAGATAACGAAGGCAGAGAAGCAGAAGCTTTTGCCATAAGTTGTGGTCTAACGCAGCTTGTC